TATCAGGTATTAACAAAAACAGAAACGAACAATGAGCATATTTTTATTTGAGTAAACTTGACTTTTACAATTCTTTATCATAACATTGTTATTACATTTTTGTTGTCCCTCTCTCTTTCTCTTGTTTTAGCCTAGTCCTCAAACTAAGAGAGAAAAAACTAATAACGTTTGCAATATCAGTACAGGTGCATCCTGAACACGATGTAAAGGAGCATAATCTTCTTTTCGCGCACGTGTTTTTAAACCCTACTCCTCTAGCTGTTGATTGGCTGTGGAATTATCTTTTATGCCATGATTGGCCCAGACAGATGTCCGTCAAATGGGTTTTGCCAGAACTTCGGCTGCTGTCAGCACAACAGAACAGTGGTGTTGACGGTTCTGGTCGAAAGTGAGAATGACTGAACTTTGAGTGCAATAAAGCCATACTTCCGGTCAGGTAAGAACTGAATTTTTCACGTATAAAGCTTGATTATCTTACATCAAAAATGTGTTTTTGTTTTCCTATATTAGAGGTTAATCTGTGGCAAAGCAGGTTATCCACTTGTCAGAATTTGTTTATTCTCCTAAATTACATTTTATTATTTTATTATAACAAATCATAACTAACCACCAGCTACCTACCTACAGACCTGGACTTGTGCTGTAAATCTACATAATAATGAAAGATAAGTAGCATTATAACCAGACTGTTTTTTTTTTTTTTTTTTTTTTTTTTTGAAGACAGAAAGGACTGGAGTAAAATGGGGACCAACAGAGAGAGCACCTTGGAAACTGAGAATAAAGTCACTCCTGCTCAGCAGGAGGGCAACACTGAGAGTCACATAGTTTCTGTGAAAGGCCTGAAAGAGAACTGGCAGAAGTGGTCCAGCGAGCACCGACTGTACCAGAAGCACAACCCGTTCAGCCGTGACAACAGACTCAGCGTGGTGGTCTCCCAGAGGGGCCACGACAACTATGGGAGACCCCCACAGGGGTCTTTGACGGAGCAGCGTGGGATGGAGGCTCACACACATGTCAGCAAAGAGATCGAGATGCTGTGCGAGGCGATACGGAGCATCGGGGCGCTGAAAGAGAAAGATGGGGATGAAGGTGGCGGCAACAGGAAAGCGATGGCTGTAGAATTTGGGAAACTGTTTGAGCATTATGTGACGATCTCCAACAAACTGGTGGGGATTCTTTTACGGGCCAGAAAACAGAGACTGGTTGAGTTTGAAGGAGAGATGCTGTGGCAAGGGAAGGATGATCATGTAGTCATCTCTCTGGTGGAGTGATCAGAAGTTGATTTGTTGCATGGTGCTACCTCACAGCAGCCCTCACTATAATAGTAAAATGGCAGGAACTGAACTAAATAATGCACTACGAATGCTTAATGAAAATTTACTAAGAAACTAAAGCTAATGAGACATATAGATTTGCAGGCAGCTATGTTAGGTTATTACGCACAATGTGGGGTACTTTGTGTTTAAAGTAAAATCAATACTTAGTATTACCCAAAAGGCAGATAAAACTTAGCCTAAAAAGTGAAAAAAAATTGTGTTTGGTAGATTATTTAATTGTTGCAACAACTCTTCTTGGCAAAAAATCTCATACTGTTGGAAAGCCTGATAATTTCCCTTTTAAATGGGGCCACATTTGTAAGGAACATGCATTTGTGAGGATGAGCAGTAGAGCTGAGTATGTGGGTAACGCACAGGAAAAATCTCTCAAATCTTCTCTGCCAAACATCTTATTTTACTGTTTTGAGCTTCTGGTCCCTCCAGGTGCCAATTATGAGATTAATTGTCAAAAAGCATTGTTACATTTATTTATTTATTTGTTTATTTATTTATTTTTTGGGTGGGGGGAGGGATCACATTATGTTAATTTTTATTTATTTATTTATTCATTGTTATATTTTTCATGTCCTTTTTTGGTATTTGTATAACTGAAAATTCTAATAAAATAGTTTTGAAAAAAAAGCATTGTTACAATCAATCAATCAATCAATCAATCAATCAATCAATCAATCAATCAATCAATCAATCAATCAATCAATCTCCACCAAACACACAATTCCTTACTTTTTGTGTTACATTTATTTAGACGTGTAGACTTATTTTAGTGAAAATACCAAAAGAACCACAGCTTCAATAACATTTGTAACATTTCATTTTTGTTTTTACTAAACATTTTGACATAAAATGTTTTCACATTATAACACACACACTAGTGTGTGTGTGTGTGTGTGTGTGTGTGTGTGTGTGTGTGTTTCAAGCAATATTCAAGCAATATGTTATCACATTGTGAACATATTTTCTAAAAAAAATGTTTTAACACGATGTGTATATTGTAATTAAAATATAAACAATTTGTTAAAAAGTGTAAAAAGTTTTTAAGAACATAAAAACTGTTTCAGGGGGAAAAAAACATTCATATTTGAGCAAAAAAATCACTTTGTGATTTGATTTTGTTTTATTTACTTTTTTAACAGTTCCTGTATATTTTATTGACACAAATTTATTCGTGTATAATACGATCATCATTTTTTTAGCTTAAAAATCATTAAAAATCTAATTATCAATAACCTGTGTATAATACTACCCCTCCACTTGATGAGTTTTAGGGTTAAACTTCTAGTATTATACATGACTAGATACATACTTTTAAATAAATTGAGTAAAATTGGTGGGCAAAAACAGCTCAGTTTCTAACATTTCTCGATGCTACCAGGGTTTTATTTTTTTTTAACTAGGGTGTCAGACGAATTCCTTCGGTTCTTACCTTTAGCATGAAATAAAAAAAAAATAAATAAAAAAAAAGCATGAAATAAAAAAATGTCAAAAAGGCTTTTTAAGGAATTTCAGGGGCAACTGTTAAGGGGTAAAAGTACTAAAACATAACCAAAACTATATATATATGTACAATATAAATATTGACATTAACACACTAGTTAGTACATTGTATATACACTAAAAATGTAAATGAAATTTGGCTTTCTGGTGAAATTTCAGGATTAAAATAATACAGTATTACATTTAAAGGTGAACTTAGTTTGATCTTTTTTTAATTGTTACTGGATATTTTCAGTGTTTCAGTACTTGGTGCACAACTTAAAACATGAACCTTCACAGCAAAATTCACAATAAGAGTTTGATCCAGTAATTGACCAATGAACTTCCTGGTTCAATTACAATTATTTTTTAAATATTCCTCCTCATCATGCTGTTCACATTTTTGGTTCACAAAAAAACTAAACAAAAAAAAAAAACCCTGTAACTATCTTTTTTGTTTTCCCCACTAACTTTCTTTAATGTTTTAAAATTGGAGAGATTTAATTATTTTTTGTTATTTAACCATTATCTCAACAGGTAAAACATTAAGAACAGTTTCTTATTAACAATGTTGGCCTGAAATGAGCAGCTGAAGTTAGAATAAGCTGATGGGACTGAAGCCAAAGAGCACACACGTCTTCCTGGCTGTGACAGACTATCTGCTGCTGGAGGATGAACATGATCCGGCTCAGCTGCTTCAGTTTGTATTTATTACAAAGCTGCTCTGTAACCAGGCAGTCACGGCAGTTTGAATTTCTGTACCTGAAGCTTATAAACATTTTTCATTTCCCAGGACTAATCACAGCTACAACTTATAGTACTAAATAAAGAAACCACATCCTCTGTGTCACCGTGTGACTTCAGACGATAAAATCTTGTGCAACTGGGAAATAGTGTGAAACACCAGGTTGTACAGAAAATATTAAAAACACTCTGATGAGAAAATTTACCACAGAATTTATTTTAAATTAAAGAAATAAAGTGCATCTTTTACACATCACTGTAAAGAACTATTTTATACAGTCGGTTTATTTACAGCAGCAAAGCTGGGCAACACCATAAAACGTTTTGACACAGTGAGAAAAGATGGATATAATCCGAATAAAATCAACACAATTATTTAAATGAACCTTCACCTTGAATTTCATTAAATCATTTACAGGAATCACAGTTAGGAAATCTGAGAACAACACATTTTACCTCATTTATATCCTCAGTTATTTTCTTAACAAGTTCTTTGTTTTCTTTGCTCATACTGTCTTTTCCATTTATATCAACATGTTGATCATTTTCTGATTTTGTTTGTGTTCAGAGAAATAAAATCAAGCATTGAATATGTTTTTGTGCATACTAAAATACAAACAAATAGGAAAATCAGGAATAAAATATATACAAAAATATGTTTAAAAACTCGATATTTAGAATAAAAAAAAACAAACTTTATTGATCCCAGAGGGAAATTAGGTAAGTGAATTAAGAAAGTGTGGTATTCAAAGCAACATGTTACATCACAATTATATCCATCTTTTATATGAAGTCAAAACTTTATTCTAACATGACCAACCATGTAATGCCCATTAATAACTTTATTGCAGTGCTGAGTTATTGTTGTGTAGTACAGAGGATTACTCAGTGCAGTACAGTTTAAATAAGCTTATGAATACTTCAATACATTCAGTACTTCATGCTTTAATCCATCTCAGCTAAACTGAAAAAATTAGCCAATCTGCAATATTTTATGAATACATGAACATACTTGTTATGTCAGATTGAAGCCATACATACTTCTCCTGGTTTGATATTTTCTAGTGTCACATGCAGAACCTGCAGTTTCTAAATGAAAGCGATCATACATGACAGGAAATCAAAAAGCCTTCATGTCGATAAAGATTATCTGAGTACAACAAGTACTTTAATAAACCCATCTTTTGGGTTTTGGTAGAAATTATTAATAAGAACAACATAAATTACTCCTTGGTCCATATTTAAACAAAGCAGGTTAAGCTTTAATTTACTTTGTAAAATTATGTGACACTTCAGTGTTTTTAGGGCTTTGAGTGACACATTTTAAACTTAACTTGTCTTCATTTAAACTTTACTTGGCTTTGAGTTTGAAAATTGTTTTATAATAAAAATTTATCACCTTCCTTTACTGATATATGGCTAAATACTGTCCATAGCTGTGGCAGAACAGACACAAATGTCCACATCTTCCAACAGGTCATCTGAACGATGGACAAACAGGCTGGCACCTGATCAGTTGTCTCCTTTCGAGTTGAGATACTCAATCAGCTGGTCCGCCTGAAAAACAGTAATAAATAGAGATAAATGTCAGATTTCCTGCTTTAGTTCAGGGGTGAAATATTTTCCACAGTAACATTAGTTAAATTCATTTGAAGGCCATGCGCTGATTTATATCACATCTTCTTAAAGGAACAAAGCAAAACAAGGGAAACAAACAAGTGTTTGTTTTGTTGTGCTTGTTTGACAGCATGTACTCCTCTGTTCCATACTTACAGACTGTTTTGTAAAAAAAATATTCAAATTTGTAGCATGATTTGCACGCCTGATCAAAAAGCGTCCTAACATTTTATTTCTAAAACATAACATTCTCCAAATTTTAGGTATTCCTGCTGCAAATCTGACAAAAAATGGTCAAACGTCAGACTGTTGCTAAATAATGTAATATTTAAAATGTTTTTTTTTTTATGCCAGAAGAACTAAAACTTCACCAAGAAAACGTAAGCTACATTTACACTGCAAGTCTTAAAGCACAGTCATGAGCGTGCAGACTTCAGTCACATTGAAAATCATCAAATATGAAACTGACTCAGTATCACACACTGAAAAGGACTGGGTCAGGTTTGAAACAAAAAATCTAATTTGTTGAGTTCAGACTGTCAGGAAAATATCTGATATGGGTTGCATGGTGGGGGTGGGGTCAAATTTGGGTCACCTTTGTATTCAGTGTGAATGAAACATTAGGGACCTATTTTAACTCAAAATGGAAGACTGCGCCCTCTGCTGGAACCAAGTACAAAGTTCAGTATACGTAAGTTTTTGTGCATTATCTCAAGTCTTATCGTCATCACAATATTAAGCATTGTTATCACACAGCACATGTTTTCTGGACATCATGCAGCCCTATGTACAACTGCTTTTCAGCATAAACTATCACACCCATGAACATCTGAAAAACTCCCAGCAGGTTGTGACAAAAAAGGGGCACGAGATACGATGCTGCCAACAAAACTTTCATCATGTAACTGTGACTATCAGAGTGGATTGCGGCAGTTTGGCTGGAGCATACTGAGCATTTTACTCAAGTGCTCTTGTAAGAAATATTTCATGAAATCCCTTAAATTGGATAAAAACAAATACCAAGATACCAACGATGCTGCTCACATTTAAGGTAAATTGTGCATAAACATTGAACTGAGAGGAAAAATCTATTTTATAATCATAAACAGTCCGATTAAAGTGCTTACTGTGATAAACCAATAAGAGTTGAGTCTGTAGAAGAGGCGGGACAAGAAGCCCATTTGACTGGCAGGAGCCAGAACATGAAGGTGCAAGTGTGTGACAGAGCAGAACGGAGGCCAATGGAAACCAAACCTGCAAACAAACAAACAAACAAACAAACAAACAAACAAACAATCAGATATTTAATGAAACACAGCAGCTTACATCACCACAGATGATAAACACACCAAACTGTGAAACACAGAATGAAGCCAACCTGACATCAGTGACATCTGTTACATTGTTTTTTCGGAGCATCTCCTTCCCCACTTCGATCATTCGCTTCACTAAAAACAAGAAAAACATCTCTTTTCACATTATTTGCGAGAGCAATAATACTTGTACTTTAATGAGATGACAGATCCATGGGTTTACCAAACAAGAGGACTGACCACCACCTCTGCAGTAAACAAGAGCTTATCAACTCACCCAAAGGCAAATGATCTTTGCTGAGTGATTTACAATTCCCAACATGTTTCGTTGGAACAACCAGAAAATGATGTGGAGCTCCAGGTTTTATATCTCTGAAACATGAAATCTCTTCATCCTGCAACAAGAAGATACAGTTTTAATATGTCCTGAGCATTAAAAAGTCCTACATTCAGAAAGCTATGAGTGCTTAGACGACCAATAAAAACAACACAAATTTGTCTCTATTTACAAGTTTGTGAGGCATAGATGGTGCCACACCTTAAACATTACAGTAGAAACTACATCCACAACATTAAGCCACATATGCCGGATACTGCTGTTTGTGTCACAGTTAGCTAAAACAGCCGAAACCAAACCTAAACATTAGCTATAACTTTACAAATCCAGCATGAAACAGGTGTTTACAGAATGATGCTAATGCTAGCTAAATTAGCAACAACAACGAAATAAATCTCACGCTATGAAGAAGTTCCGTTCCCATCTCATTGTTTACAATTTTGCAGAAAATACACTTTTTGTCATATCCTTCAGCCTGACCGCTGCTGCTTTTAGAAACATCAACTTGAGTCGGCTCTGCAGCCTGAACACCGGCCATAACGAACAACTCAGACCCGCTGCGTCGATCACTGACGTCATCGAGCGGAACGGAGGCAGTTCTTCTTCGTGTGTTTATCAAAGGGTGGAACTTCATGTTTAACGAGACTACTGCCATCTATTGAAGTGAAGTCTAAATAAAAAAAAATATATATATATATATACAGTATATACTGTATTTATAAACATGAAGTGGTCAAGTCAAACTTTATTTGTGTAACCCCTTTTTACTAGCTTTTTCAATAAAAGAAAAAAAAAACGCAAATAAAAATGCATAAAACTTCAAAATCAAACAGACATTTTCAGACACTGGTGTGTGCATAGGCACATTCATTTAAAATTACAGCAAAAACAGACTCATAAAAGTGCTAGTGTGAAATCCAATAAATAAGAAGAAAAATAAATAAATAATATGCCTGAGCAAATTAAAAAGTTTAATCCATATCTGACAGTGGGGGCTTCTTTTGAACCGAGAAACATTGGAGCAAAAATTACAGAAGACAGCTTCCCCTGATTTAGAGAAGGTTTAATAATAAGCCACAGTCTGCAGACCTGAGTGATCTCTCTTCTATAACTAGTTAACATGTTTGAAACATTTTTTTTCTGTTTGTTAAATGCCTGATTAACTAGAGAAGAGAGAGAGAGAGAGAGAGAGAGAGAGAGAGAGAGAGAGAGAGAGATAGAGAGAGAGGGGGAATAGAG